GGATCCAGCTCCATGCCAGGCCTCGTTTCTGGGGTCAGGATTCCCGGATTCCCAGGTTCCAGGATCCCCAGATTCCTAAATTCTCAGGTTCCCGGATTTCTGGATTCTCAGGTTCCCAGATTCCCAGATTCCTGGATGATTCCTGGATTCCCAAATTTCCAGATTCCCGGATTCCCAGGTGATTCCCAGATTCTTGGATGATTCCCAGATCCCTGGATGACTCCCAAATTCCCAGATTCCCAGATGATTCCCAGATCCCCAGATGATTCCCAGATTCCCAAATTCCCAAATTCCCAGGTTCCAGGATTCCCAAATTCCCAGATGATTCCCAGATTCCTGGATGATTCCCAGATTCTTGGATGACTCCCAGATTCCTGGATTCCCAGATGATTCCCAGATCCCTGGATGATTCCCAGATCCCTGGATGATTCCTAAGTTCCCAGGTTCCAGGATTCCCAGATCCCTAGATGACTTCCAGATCCCCAGATGATTCCCAGATTCCCAAATTCCCAAATTCCCAGGTTCCAGGATTCCCAGATTCCTGGATGATTCCCAGATCCTTGGATGACTCCCAGATTCCTGGATTCCCAGATGATTCCCAGATCCCCGGATGATTCCCAGATTCCCAAATTCCCAGATTCCAGGATTCCCAAATTCCCAGGTTCCAGGATTCCCAGATTCCCTGGATGTTTCCCAGATCCCTGAATTCCCGGATTCCCGTCTCCCACCTCCCCCGCGTTCCCTGACCCCGCGAGCAGCCGGGAACATCCAGGGAGGGAAAGGCTGGAAAAGGATCCAGATGGAAGCGGAAAAAGCGGGAATGATGCCGGTTGTCATGGAAACGGGATGGGGGGGGTGGGGGGGGATTATCCCAACCCCCCCCTTCCCAGCCTGATCCCGGCTCCCGCTGGGATTTTGGGAATTCGGTGCCCGTTAGGTAAGGCTGGGAATGGCAGCGAGGTGGGAACGTTGGGATCGGCCTGAGGGATCCGGCCAAGGGATCCTGGAGCCAAAGGGGATCTGACCAAGGGATCCAATCTTGGGATCCAGCCAAGGGATCCTGGAGCCAAAGGGATTCAGCTGAAGGATCCAGTCTTGGGATCCAGCCAAGAGATCCGACCCTGGGATCCTGCCAGAGGGATCCTGGAGCCAAAAGGGATCTGCCCAAGGGATCCTGGAGCCAAAGGGATTCTGGAGCCAGAGGGATCCTGGAGCCAAAAGGGATCCTGGACCCAAAAGGGATCCAGCAGAGGGATCCAATCTTGGGATCCAGCAGAGGGATTCTAGAGCCAAAGGGATCCTGGAGCCAAAGGGATCCTGGAGCCAAAGGGATCCAATCTCAGAGGGAGCCAGAGGGATCAAACTGATGGATCCAGCCAAGGGATCCTGGAGCCAGGGGGATCTGACCTCGGGATCCAATCTCAGGATCCGGCTGAGGGATCCAACCTTGGGGTCCTGGCAGAGGGATCTGGCTGAGGGATCCTTCAGCCAAAGGGATCTGCCAGAGGGATGGAACTGATGGATCCTGGATCCATCCAAGGGATCCTGGAGCCAAAAGGATCCGGCTAAGGAATCCAATCTTGGGATCCAGCCAAGGGATCCGACCTCAGGGTCCTGCCAGAGGGATCCAGCCAAGGGATCCTGGAGCCAGGGGGATCCGGCTGAGGGATCCTTCTGCTGAGATTGTGTCGTTGGGATCCTGTCTTGGGATCCTGCTGGGAGGATCCTGACACTGGGGACACGGGGATGGCACAGGGATGGGAAAGGGGAGCAGGAAGAAAGGATCCTTAAGGAAAATGGAGAAGGGGAAGGGAACAGCAAAAAGGGAACGGGGAAAGGGAATGGGGAAAAGGGAACTGGGAAAGGAAAAGGAAAGAGGGAAAAGGGAAAGGGAACAGGGAAAAGGGAACAGGGAAAGGAAAAGGAAACAGGGAAAAGGGAAAGGGAACAGGGAAAAGGGAAAGGGAACAGGGAAAGGGAACAGGGAAAAGGGAATGGGGAAAAGGGAATGGGGAAAAGGGAACGGGGAATGAGAACATCCCCAGGGCCGCCTGTCGCCCTTTCTGCCCTTTCAGGAATCATTAAAACCTCGCGACACAAAAGAGCCTTTGGGATCAGGGTCTGGAATCAGGCACTGGGATCAGGGTTTGGAATCTGGGTGTGGGATCTCGGCTGGGAACCAGGGATTGGAATCAGGGTCTGAGGAATCTGGGTTTGGGATCAGAGTTTGGAATCAGGCACTGGAATCGGGAGCCTTTGGGATCAGGGTTTGGAATCAGGGTTTGGAATCAGGGTTTGGAATCAGGGTTTGGAATCAAGGTTTGGAATCAGGGTTTGGGATCAGGGTTTGGAATCAGGGTTTGGAATCAAGGTTTGGGATCAGGGTTTGGAATCTGGGTTTGGAATCAAGGTTTGGAATCAAGGTTTTGATCTGGGTTTGGAATCAAGGTTTGGAATCGGAGTTTGAAATCAGGCTCTGGAATCAGTCCAGCCTCTCCCCCCACCACGGGCAGCTTTTCCCGAAATTCCAGCCGCAATTCCAGCGGGATTCGGGACCCTCCCGCAGCAATCCTTCCCCGCCGTTGCATCACGAGCGAAGCTTTTCCTTAACTTGCATTTCCAGGATAAATCCCCCCCCATCCCCCCTCGTCCTTCCCCTCCTCCCTCCCTTCGGCGCACCTGGAGAAATCCAGGTTATTCCAATATTCCAACCCCCCTCCTCGCATCTCAAAATTTTTATTCCCGATGGGAAAAATTCCCGCATTTTGGGGTCATTTTCCCCTTTTCCCTTCCCCCCTTCACAGCACCTTTGGCGTCAGGACATTCCCGCAGCACCGCAGAGGGGGGGGAAAAAAAAAATAAAAATCGACGCTCACCTCATTTATTGCCGAGGGTTGTCGGGGTTTGGGGATGGCGAAAAAAATCCCGGAATTCCGCAGAATTCCCGATGGAAAAGCAGAGCAGGCGATGCCCGAGGCGGTGGGAGCAGATTGGTTAAAATCCCGATTTTTTCCAGGTTTTTTGGAGGGGCGCGGGGGGGGGAATCTCTTCAGCTGAGCTCAGCGCCCCCCAAAAAAATCCCAAAATCGCTGAAATTCGCCCAATTCCCCCCCTCGCCGCCTGTCCCCCGCTCCATGGGGACTCGGGGGGGTTTGTCCTTGGAGCTGTCGCCATGGAAAGCCCCAAATCCCTCCTAAGGAGGCGGGACCGGGAGGTGATGGACACCGGGAAGAGCCAGTGGCAGCTCCGGGAGGGACACGGGGACAGCGACAGGGGGGACAGCGACAAGGGGGACAGGGGGGACAGGGA